TGCATGTATCTTTGTGATTGATCAGGTAAGAAAAAGCTGCATGCAAAGCTTAAACCAAAATGTTACAACAACACTGATGTAGACACCTCAATAAGTAGGATAACCCACTCTAACAGTCCAGCAAATATGATAATTTTCACACACAGACCTATCATACCTGATTATATAAATATCTGCTGATTTGTATCAATATTAATGTTGTAGTTAAATATATATAATGATATTCACCCTCTATAGTTGTTTCACATGTCATAAATTAAATTTGGAATGTTTGGACTAGATTCTGACTGACCAGAACTGATAATAACTTCAGCAAAAAACATCCCAACATTTCATCTATTTCTGATTTTAAGAACACACATGCCTGGTAATAAAAGCAAAATTACTGCCATACATAAATGCCATTCACAAATTATAAATGTGTCAACCTTAAGTGTAAATTATCTGCCCTTGAAATAAAAGAAATCCAAGTTAAAGGGCGGATAACTCAAAGCAATCTAGGTGATCTTCATTAAAAAAATGTTTCTGTTATCAAATTCTTAGATTGTGCAAAAGTTAAATTATAACAGTTTTTCATTTCTGTCTATAATGTCTGTATGTATTTGTAGCATATTTCCTTTAACTGTGTTTTATAATACACAAATTAAAGTCATTAAGTGCCTTTAAATAAATGACAATTAACCAAATCTCACCCCTTTTTAGGTAATATTGTAGCAGTCAATAATTACTCAAGAATGATATCTAACAGTTACAATTACAGTTAATAAAGATTACAAGCAACAAATGCCTTAGAACTTAAATTTGATCAAACAGATAACTCAAAACACATGTAAGCAAAAATAACAATATGTAAACAAAATATATCACTATAATACAGTACAATACAATAACAAATATTTGGCATAGTTTAAAACACATGTCATCATTTACAATAAATAAGAAATAGAAAATAATAACCTGAATTCAAACACAATACTAAAACAATACACAAGACAAAAAGCAATGTTCAGTACATTTCACAGAATGAGTCTGGGTAGATGCGAACTGGCTTATAATGAAAGTGAGAGGCAATGGTGTATGTCACTTCTTCACTAATCAAAATCACATGACTTTCTTGGATCTGACTGGTTCTATCAAGTTATATGTTTGGTTAAGTCACTTGATGGTGTTTAGGTGGATACTGGTTCCCCGTCATCATCTTCACAGCACTTACATACTTTACATTTACAGCATATAGTATGCGGGTGCCGCAAGCAACAGGAATGGTGAGGCAACAAGTAAAAGAACTCCAAAACCAGCAAAGATGCCTATAACCCTGAAAACATAAATATTATGTTGTAAATATATTAAAACAATTTATTTAGAGATTTCAGAAACAACTTAACATTCAAAACAAATTCCATTGATAATGAATATAAAAACAAGCAAAATTGAAAAATAGTTCAAGAATGTGAATTATCACAACAAATAATCTTCAAAATAAAATAAATGATTGTATAAATGAGGTTAATGATAACAAGGGTGCCATAGTCACAAAATACGCCCGTTTACGAAAAAGCTTTAGATGGAGATGGGGGCATTATGGATAAGTGTTATCTAGCAAGCAAGTTTTTATTCTTGGCACTGTGTTGTTAAATGAACCTTAAAACAAATCAGTAGGGAAGATATGCACAGGATGTGTGGACAGTTGACCTGTCGCAGGACCTTGAATTTTATGCACGGCACTCAGCTCAGACAATGATGAACATTTGTGCCATAATTATATTGAAATCCCTCTATGCAAATGAGATAGTTTTGCGGTCCAACATAGTGTTTTTTCTATGAGTCTTAACTGTGACCTTCACCTTTGACGCTAGAGACTTGGTTAATGTGCAGGGCACCTAAGTCTCATGGTGGTGAACAACATTCTATAAACAGTAAACTATTAATAATTCCTACATGCATGTAGAAAATATGCTCCGGACACTATCTTGGATATTTAATCTATCTCCAGTTTGACCTTGACCTTGCAAATTATAACCTAAATTAAATGTGTAACACCTGTAGTCATGATAGTTACCATTTGTGCTACAATCCATCAATAAATGTGACCTACAGATGGTCCCCATACAACCATCTTCAAATTTTTTATCTGAACTTTGACCTCTCATGTGTAACCCTTGACTTTGGTCGCAGGGATCGTGAATTTTGCATGCGACATCCCCAGCTCTCACAATGGTGAACATTTGTGCCAAGTTATTCTTGAAAACCCCCTATGAATGTAGAAGTTTTGCTCCGGACAACGCGTTTTCAAAATGACTCTAAGTGTGACCTTGACCTTTGACCTGGAGACCTGGATCATGCAATGGAGCAATACATATCATGGTGGTGAACATTTCATAAAGTATTATAAAAAATTCTTCCATACAGGTAGGAGATATGCTCCAGACAAAATCTGGATATTTCACCATCTTTAGTGACCTTACTCTTGCATATATTGAACCTAAAGTACATGTGTCACAGCCGTAGTCATTATAATGACCATTTGTGTTACAATCCCTCAATAAATGATGATTAAATCGTCCCTATACACATCTTCATATTTTTATCTTTTTTAAACGGGCGTATAAAAAGTACATGTTAATTGTAAATTTTAATAACTAAAAAAATTCTGATTTAAGATTTATTCTAGGGAAATACATTTCATTACAATTCTTAATCTTTGAATGAGCTGAACTGATATTTACTTGAAAATTAAAATATAATTAAATTTCTATGAGAAAGTATTTACATTTGATAAGGTAATTACTGTATGATCTTTATGAACAAAATACCAAGTCTACAGAACACCTTAGTTATCACAGTTAAGAATCTTGACCAATGAATGAAACATGTGTAAATAAATGTTACATTCTTTAGAACATACTCAAGTCCAAGAAAGAGGATTATTTCATGCCCTTTTGATTAAATTCTATTTTTAGAATTGAAAGTGAAAGTAGATCAAGGGGAGTAATTGTGTAAGTCATTTATGAACAAAGTAATAACTTTGTTGTCGCCCTTTGATTAAAATTCTATTCAACAAAATCTGGATATTTCATCATCTTTAGTGACCTTGACCTTGTATATATTGACCTAAATTATATGTATCACAGCCATAGTCTTGATAATGACCATTTGTGTTACAATCCCTCAATAAATGATGACTAATGGTCCATATACACATCTTCATATTTTTATCTGAACTTTGACCTCTATGTGTGACCTTGACCTTGGCGGCAAGGACCTGAATCTTGCACGCGACACTCCGCCTCACAATGGTGAACATTTGTGCCAAGTAATATTTGAAATCCCTCTATACATGTGGAAGTTTTGCTCCGGACAAGCATTTTTCAATGAGCTCTAAGTGTGACCTTGACCTTTGACATAGAGACCTGGTTCATGTGCGCGACACTGCTCCTCATAGTGGTGAACATTTCTATGAAGTTTCATTAAATTCCCTCCATACATGTAGGAGATATGCTCCGGACAAAATTGGACGCCGCCCCGGCCGCGCCGCCCGCCCGCCCAACGCCGCTGCCAGGGCGTTCCCATAATACGTCCCGTTTTTCAAAACGGGCGTATAAAAAACATGCATCACTGTAATTCCCTATTAAAACATTTTCATTAATTCCTGTTGAAGGATTTAAAAGATTCAATATCCAAATTATAAATATATCTATTATTTTCATGGGTTTTTACACCACAATCACAATATTGGAGTAACAACTTTTTTGTTGGATGACACAGTACAGGTCATAAGGTAACTTTCCAGCTTTACTGCTGGAGGAAGACCTCAGGTGCTCCTTCATGCATTATTTCAGACACACAAGTAGGCATCTGATCTTCCATAAACTGGCTGGATCGCTTCTCACATTTTAGATCCAAAGTCCCTGACATGATTCCAACCCACAGCAGTGAGGGGGAAGTTATAAGTAATATTAAGTTGAGAACCTTAAACACTCGGCCACAAAGGTCCACACCTAAAACATGGTCTTGGAAAGATATTTTAAACAAACAAAAAGAAATATTATATTATACTTGTGTCCTGTGCCATATCACAGATGCTCGAGAATGTCCCAGCTTGTTCTTACATGGTCCCTTGTCATAGTGTCTTAATAAAAAATCATCCTTCAATAAAATACAAAAGAAGCATAGATCAGAAAATGTTCATATAAACACAAAATAAAAGACAAACTAAAAACTTCAGCTTCTCATTACTCTCTGTAATCTATTTTGTAACAGGGCTTAGGCAATATGATCTAAGAGCAAATTTGTATAAGTGATCAATAAAACATCAATGACACATTAATTATCCTTACGAAACTAAGTGACCCCTATGGCCAGAACATTTTGATCCAAGATGCCTGCTTCTGTTTGATTCATACAACTTTGTAGAGGTCTACTAGGCTATGCCTACATGTCACATATCTAAGCTGCGGCCATTGTTGTGTATTCCACAAGAAATTTGAACATATATTTTTATATCTAAATATATATATTAGTCTATATAAGTAAAACCTTGTCACAGGCAAATTGTGACCATTTGATAAGTGTGACCTTGTCCTCAGGAAGCCCAAACCTGTTCTCTGTTTGCCTCATTATGGTAAACATTCCTTCCATCGGTCCGAGAAAAACACATATTTCTGTTATTTTTAAGTTTTTATATACATAATATATTTGAAGTTTTATACGGCTAGTAAAAGTTGCCTGTCCTATCTTTCATGAGTGACACTTGCTCCCCAAGGTAAAGTTTATCTCCAAATTGACTTGCAGATAAAGATGAGCAAATAAAGCCTATCAGTTGATCTTATTTTAAAAGCAATTTGACGTTCCTAATTTCTTTTACTTCCTCTGGTTAGAATAAGACGTTTTTTTAAACATGCATCTTTGCAAAAAATATTTAGGTCAAGATGTGAAAGATGTTAGAAAGTTGTTGTACTTACATCGAGTGAAGTGAGACAGTACCAACAGAACACATGTTTACAACGTTTACACATCATCTGAGCACAACCATCGTTTCTTTCTATAGGTACATGGCAAACCGGACAACGCTTGATTTCAGAATTCTCTACACAATTAAATGGAATTCTACAACAAAATACCTTTAATTAATTAACTGTTTATCCTATAAGAAGTCTAGTCTAGACATTTTCTTTTTGAGAAAAAATATAAGTTGCTTAATATTCAATCAGAACAAACAATTTAAACTTGCAGATTTCTTAGAAGGATAACATTTAAAAGTTGTTCCTAAACACAAGGTCCATGATGGCACTTAAACACTTACCTGAGGATATGATTTACATATGATTTACATAGACAAGATTTCATTATTAACTCATTTCTTTTAAGTTCTACCAAAATCTGCCAATCAATACCTGCACTCCAGTTAATGCACTGTGCATGTAAATGTATATGATTCAACTCTCACACATTTTCAGTAGGAAGATCCCCAAACTATGATACAAATAATAGTTATAAAACCATATTCAAAGTTTGAAGTATAAAAACTATGTAATTACCCCTGATCCTCTAATCTTCCAGACATAATAACTTCATCACAGGACTTTGCATGATGCCACCTTGATTTACACACTGAACAAAACTGTAGACCACACTGAAATAAAACATAATTATAAATATAATTAAATCAAACAAAAACTTCTATTATAGTGAAAGAAAACAAGAGGGCCATGATGGCCCAAAGTCGCTCACCTGTATATAGGCCCCCCGGAGCGGGGCCAGTTTAAACCCCAGGGCTTTTATTTGAACAAACTTGGTTGACACCCATTAGAAGATGTTTCATGCTAAACATCTAAGGTCTAGCTTATTGGGTTTTCTAAAAGAAGATTTTTTATGTCTATATATATATATATATATATATATATGTATACATATTATATATATATATATATATATATATATATATATATATATATATATATATATATATATTATATATATATGTGTGTGTGTGTATGTATGTGTGTATATATATATATATATATAATATATATATATATATATATATATATATATATATATACATATATATATATATATATACAATATATATATATATATATATATATATATATATATATATATACATACATACACACACACACACACATATATATAATATATATATATTACACAATATTGGTTCCTTACATATATATATATACATATATATATATATATATAAGATATATATATATAATATTTATATATATATATAATATGTATATATATATATATATATAATATGTATATATATATATATATGTATGTATATATATAATATGTATATATCTAAAAAAAAAGTCGAGCTAATGAATGACCCCCGGGCGGGGCCAATTTTGACCCCAGGGCTCTTATTTGAACGAACATGGTAGACACCCATTAGAACATGTTTCATGCTAAATATCTTAGCTCTAGCTCTTTGGGTTCTTTCAAAGAAAATTTTTTTAGTTTTACTATATGCATATAGGGAAAATCAATGACCCCCTGGGCGGGGCCAATTTTGACCCCAGTGCTTTTATTTGAACAAACTTGGTAGACACCCATTAGAAGATGTTTTAATGCTAAATATCTTAGCTCTAGCTCTTTGGGTTCTTTAAAAGAAGATTTTTTAAGTTTTTACTATATACATATAAGGAAAATCAATGACCCCCAGGGCGGGGCCGATTTTAAATTCTAGGAACAAAATTTGAACAACTTTGGTTTTGGATCTATAGATGATACCATAGACCAAATATCAAAGCTCTAGGCCATTTACTTTCAGACCATAAGATTTTTCAAGTTTTTCACTATATGTATATAATGAAAATCAATGACCCCCGAGGGCGGGGCCAATTTTGACCCGAGGGCCATTATTTGAACAATTTTGGTAAAGGTCTACCACACAATGTTTCATGCCAAATATCTTACCTGTAGCCTTTGCCAATTCAGAGAAGAAGATTTTTTATGTTTTACTATATACATATTTAGAAACCTATGACCCCCCGGGTGGGGCCAATTTTGACACTAGGGACAAAATTTGTACAACTTTGGTATTGGACCTTCAGATGATACCATAGACCAAATATCAAAGCTCTAGGCCATTTACTTTCAGACCAGAAGATTTTTCAAGTTTTCACTATATGTATGTAATAAAAATCAATGAACCCCCGGGGCGGGACCAATTTTGACCCTAGGGCCATTATTTCAACAATCTTGATAGAGGTCTACTACACAATGTTTCATGCCAAATATCTAATCTGTAGCCTTTGCCAAATCAGAGAAGAAGATTTTTTAGATTTTACTATATACATATAAGGAAAAACCTATGACCCCCGGGGCGGAGCCAATTTTGACACTAGGGACAAAATTTGAACAACTTTGGTAGAGGACCCATAGATGATACCATATACCAAAAATCAAAGCTCTAGGCCATTTACTTTCAGACCAGAAGATTTTTCAAGTTTTCACTATATGTATGTAATGAAAATCAATGACCCCCCAGGGCGGGGCCAATTTTGACCCTAGGGCCATTATTTGAACAATCTTGATAGAGGTCTACTACACAATGTTTCATGCCAAATATCTAATCTGTAGCCTTTGCCAAATCAGAGAAGAAGATTTTTTTAGATTTACCTATAGACATATAAGGAAAAACCTATGACCCCCGGGGCGGGGCCAATTTTGACACTAGGGACAAAATTTGAACAACTTTGGTAGAGGACCCATAGATGATACCATATACCAAAAATCAAAGCTCTGGCCCATGTACTTTCAGACAAGAAGATTTTTTAATTTTGTGTTTTTTGAAATCCTTTTCTGGCCCTGTGACCTACATATGCAACAGACCGGAACCATTTGAACAACTTTGAAAGGGGACCACCCAAGGATCATTTCTGCAAAGTTTGGTTGATGTGCAGTCATTGGTTTCAGAGGAGATGTTGTTTATGTGAAAAGTTGACGACGCACGACGCACGACGACGGACGACAGACACAGGGCGATCACAATAGCTCACCCTGAGCATTGCTCAGGTGAGCTAAAAAAACTAGAACTATCACTAAATGTGATTTATACCCCCACAAGACTGCTTCGGAAATGAGGATGTTACTAGTAACAGAATACCTTGTAAAAGAATTGAAATATAGAGTTATGGTTGTGGGCAATTAAAGATAGTTGTGGTTCTTGCATGTTGCATTTCCTTTCAATGTTGTTGGCCATTGATGAAGTTTAATTGAATTAATCTGTAATAAGTCCAGAAAGACAAAGAAAAGTAACAAAGGGCAATAACTCTATAAATACTAAAGATAGAGTTATAGTTCTTGTGCACTGCACTTCCTCTCAATGTGCTTGACCATTGTATGAAGTTGTTTTGAATTCCAACCAGTACGTTTTAAGTTATGCTCCTGACAAGGAAAAGTATCAAAGGGCAGTAACTCTGTATTTTTGTCAAAATGGAGTTATGGCTCTTGTGCACTGCACTTCCTTTTAATGTCCTTGACAACTGTATGAAGTTGTATTGAATTCCAAACAGTAGTTTTCAAGTTATGCTCTGGACAAGGAAAAGTAACAAAGGGCACTAACTCTGTAATTAGTCAAGATGGAGTTATGGTTCTTGTGCACTGCACTTCCTCTCAATGTGCTTGACCATTGTGTGAAGTTATATTGAATTCCATCCATTAGTCTTCAAGTTATGGTCCAGACAAAAAAAGCAATGGAAAAGTAACAAAGGGCAATAACTCTGTAATTACTTTAGATAGAGTTATGGTTCTTGTGCACTGCACTTCCCCTTATTGTGTTTGACAATTGTATGAGGTTGTTTTGAATTCCAACCAGTAGTTTTCAAGTTATGCCCCGGACAAGGAAAAGTAACAAAGGGCAATAACTCTGTAATTAGTCAAGATAGAGTTATGGTTCTTATGCACTACACTTCCTCTCAATGTGCTTGACCATTATATGTAGTTATATTGAATTCCAACTATTAGTCTTCAAGTTATGGTCCGGACAAAAAAATCAATGGAAAAGTAACAAAGGGCAATAACTCTGTAATTACTTTAGATAGAGTTATGGTTCTTGTGCACTGCACTTCCCCTTATTGTGTTTGACAATTGTATGAAGTTGTTTTGAATTCCAAGCAGTTGTTTTCAAGTTATGCCCCTAACAAGGAAAAATAACAAAGGGCAATAACTCTGTAATTAGTCAAGATAGAGTTATGGTTCTTATGCACTGCACTTCCTCTCAATGTGCTTGACCATTGTATGCAGTTATATTGAATTCCAACTTTTAGTCTTCAAGTTATGGTCCGGACAAAAAAAAAGCAATGGAAAAGCAACAAAGGGGCAATAACTCTGTAATTACTTTAGATAGAGTTATGGTTCTTGTGCACTGCACTTCCCCTTATTGTGTTTGACAATTGTATGAAGTTGTTTTGAATTCCAACCAGTAGTTTTCAAGTTATGCCCCGGACAAGGAAAAGTAACAAAGGGCAATAACTCTGTAATTAGTCAAGATAAAATTATGGTTCTTATGCAATGCACTTCCTCTCAATGTGCTTGACCATTGTATGTAGTTATATTGAATTCCAACTATTAGTCTTCAAGTTATGGTCCGGACAAAAAAAAGCAATGGAAAAGCAACAAAGGGCAATAACTCTGTAATTACTTTAGAGAGAGTTATGGTTCTTGTGCACTGCACTTCCCTTTATTGTGTTTGACAATTGTATGAAGTTGTTTTGAATTCCAACCAGTAGTTTTCAAGTTATGCCCCGGACAAGGAAAAGTAACGAAGGGCAATAACTCTGTAATTAGTAAAGATAGAGTTATGGTTCTTGGCCACTGCACTTCCTCTAAATGTGCTTGACCATTGTATGTAGTTATATTGAATTCCAACCATACGTCTTCAAGTTATGCTCCGGACAAGGAAAATGCAACAGACGTCTGGACCGACCGACCGACCACCGGGTGACTCCTATATACCCCCCCAAACTTCGTTTTTGGGGGTATAACAAAATCAAAACAACAATAATATACAAGAGGGCCATGATGGCCCTGAGGTCGCTCACTTGTACATAGGCCCCCAGGAGCGGGGCCAGTTTAAACCACAGGGCTGTTATTTAAACAAACTTGGAAGACACCCATTAGAAGATGTTTAATGAGTTTTTACTACACACATAAAATGAAAAACAATGATCACCCCCCCCCCTCCTCTGCAGGGCCAATTTTAACCCAAGGGCTTTTATTTGAACAAACTTGGTAGACACCCAAAAGAAGATGTTTCATGCTAAACATCTAAGCTCTAGCTCATTGGGTTTTTTAAAAGAAGATTTTTTAAGTTTTTACTGTACACATATAGTTAAAAACAATGACACCCCTGGGGCGGGGCCAGTTTTGACCCCAGGGCTTTTATTTGAACAAACTTTGTAGACACTTACTAGAAGATGTTTCATGCTTAATATCTAAACTCTAGCTATTTGGGTTTTTTCAAAGAAGATTTTTAAGTTTTTGCTATACACATATAAGGAAAATCAATGACCCCCGGGGCGGGGCCAATTTTGACCCCAGGGCTTTTATCTGAACAAACTTTGTAGACACTCACTAGAAGATGTTTCATGCTTAATATCTAAACTCTAGCTATTTGGGTTTTTTCAAAGAAGATTTTTAAGTTTTTGCTATACACATATTAGGAAAATCAATGACCCACGGGGCAGGGCCAATTTTGACCCCAGGGCTTTTATTTGAACAAACTTGGTAGACACTCATTAGAAGATGTTTCATGCTAAATATCTTAGCTCTAGCTCTTTGGGTTCTTTAAAAGAAGATTTTTTAAGTTTTTACTATATGCATATAGGGAAAATCAATGACCCCCTGGGGCGGGGCCAATTTTGACCCAAGGGCTTTTATTTTAACAAACTTGGTAGACAGTCATTAGAAGATGTTTCATGCCAAATATCTAAGCTCTAGCTCTTTGGGTTTTTTAAAAAATATATTTAAAGTTTTTTCTTTCGGTTGCCATGGCAACCAGAGTTCTGCATGGAATTAAATTCTTTGAATAATTTTTAAAGGTGACCACCACAGGAACATTCCTGTGAAGTTTGGATGAAATTGGCTTAGTGGTTTATGAGGAGATGTCATTTCAAGTAAAAGTTTACGGACGGACGGACAGACGGACGCCGGACAAAAAGCGATCACAAAAGCTCACCCTGTCACTTTGTGACAGGTGAGCTAAAAAGCTGTATGATGCACTTAATTCATTTTAGAGCAGTGTTGAGTTTTATATACATGAACTATAAATTCATAGCTCAGTCAAAATAAGCCTTTTAATAACAGTGCAATCCACTGTTCAAACCTTTCATTTTTGTCATTTTCTTACATCTTATTCTGATTGTGACTAATTGTGATAAACATCGTAAATTGAATTCTTCACAAATGATGTATTTGCTAATCATACTTACAGTAGGGCAATCAACTGGTGTAGGTCTTGTTATAGCATCACTGGTAGATGTACTACATACATGACATACTGTCTCACAACCTGCTTCTGGACAAAATGTTCTGTGAGGGTCAAGATCAACCTCTGTAGTATAATAATAACAACACAGGTAAATAATATTAACCATATGCTAAAAAGTAATATAACTTGTGCATGCCACCAGTATATAACCAGACAGACCTGTAAGACCAGATTATATTACACTAATATATAAGCAGTCCCCTTACAGAGTCATGTTGTCTGATTTTCTATCTCATAACATACAAATGTTGGCACTGACTGTAAAGAATTTTTCTCCCATTTCTTAGAGTTGAAAAATAAATAGAAAGGAATCATGCTTGTGCCATTTTCTTTGTATAGTCCTCTATCCACAGAATAAGTATAATCTAACTAGGTTTTATGGCAGGATCTATGCTTCATAAGACAGAGGTCTCGAGTGAAAAGCTTCATTTGTGTGGAAGACTGATGTCCTTCAAGTTAACAGAGCATAATCTGGTCAAAATACATCTTAAAATTAATATGGGCCTTGGACAATGACACCGAAGAATGTATTGAGCTAAAAGTGAAAACCTTCATTAGTTTTGAAAATTGTTTTTGTATGCATGAGATTAGTTACAAGCAAAAAATATTTAGTGGTTGATAAGATATGTTGCAATACAAAATGCACAAGAAGTTGCAATTATTAAACTTGAACCAGTGTCCTGCTAACATTGACATCATAGCCCAGGTGAGTAGGATAGCCATATAGTTAAGCTAAATACAAGAAACATGTTCACTATAATTATATTCTGTATAAGGAAAAAAAACAAAGGGCCATAATTAAATAAACAAGAGGGCCATGATGGCCCTAGATCGCTCACCTGAATTATCAAACTCATCCAAACAATTACCTAGACAAGCATTCTGACCAAGTCTCATGACAGGTGAGTCAAAAATGTGACCACTGCAGTGTTAACAAGGATTATCCATATTTGAGCAGTGCGACCTAGTTTTTTACCCAGGTGACACATATTCAAACTTGACCTAGAAATCATCAAAACAAACTTTCAGACCAATTTCCAGGATACTTGGATCAAAACAGTAGCAACTAGAGTGTAAACAAGATTTTTCTATTTTTAGCTCCGGTGACCTAGTTTCACATGCGATTTTCGAACTCATCCAAGCAATTACCTAGACAAGCATTCTGACCAAGTTTGATGATAATGGAGTCGAAAATGTGACCACTAGAATGTTAACAAGGTTTTTCCATATTTGGGCGGTGTGACCTAGTTTTTCATCCAAGATGACCCATGTTCGATCTTGACTTAGAAATCATCAAAACAAACTTTCAGACCAATTAACAGAATATTTGGATCACAACAGTAGCCACTAGAGTGTTAACAAGATTTTTTCTATTTTAGCTCCTGTGACCTAGTTTTTCATCCGAGATGTCCCATGTTCGATTTATTCCCAGCAATGACCTAGACAAGTTTCCTGACCAAGTTTGATGACAATTGAGTCAAAATTGTGACCACTAGAGTGTTAACAAGGTTTTTCTATTTTTAGCTCCTGTGACCTAGTTTTTCATCCGAGATGACCCATGTTCGAACTCATCCGAGTTATTACCTAGACAAGCATCTTGATCAAGTTTGATGATGATTGATGCAAAAATGTGACCGCTAAAGTGTTAACAAGGTTTTTCTATTTTTAGCTCCGGTGACCTACTTTTTCATCCGAGATGACCCATGTTCGAACTCATCCAAGCTATCAACTAGATAAGCATCCTGACCAAGTTTGATGATGATTGATGCAAAAATGTGACCGCTAGAGTGTTAACAAGGTTTTTCTATTTATAGCTCCGGTGACCTAGTTTTTCATCCGAGATGACCCATATTCGAACTCATCCGAGCTATTATCTTAACAAGCATCCTGACAAAGTTTGATGATGATTGGGTCAAAAATGTGACCACTAGAGTGGCACAAGGTTTTTCTATTTTTAGCTCCTGTGACCTAGTTTTTCATCAGAGATGACCCATGTTCGAACTCATCCAAGCAATTGACTAGACAAGCATTCTGACCAAGTTTGATGATGATTGGTTCAAAAATGTGACCACTAGAGTGTTCACAAGGTTTTTCTATTTATAGCTCCTGTGACCTACTTTTTCATCCGAGATGACCATGTTCGAACTCATCCGAGCTATCACCTAGACAAACATCCTGACCAAGTTTGATGAAGATTGGGTCAAAAATGTGACCTCTAGAGTGTTCACAAGGTTTTTCTATTTTTAGCTCTTGTGACCTAGTTTTTTCATCTGAGATGACCCATGTTCGAACTCATCCGAGCTTTCAACTAGATAAGCATCCTGACCAAGTTTGATGATGATTGAGGCAAAAATGCGACCGCTAGAGTGTTCACAAGCAATTGTGGACGGCCGGACGGACGACGGACGACGGACATTCATCGATCCTAAAAGCTCACCCTGAGCAAGCTCAGGTGAGCTAAAAATTATTCAATCACAAAACCCCGACAATATGCGCCAGGGCACTGGATGACAAAGCTACTGTGAAAGTTTGAACAAAATCCGTTGAGAAATGTAGGAGTTCAGCACAGAAGAATTTTTTCACTATATATTCTGTATAAGGAAAAAAACAAAGGGCCATAATTAGGTCAAATATTATCCAATCACAAAACCCCAATAATGTGAGCCAGGGCACTTGATAACAAAGCTTCTGTGAAAGTTTGGTCAAAATCTGTTGAGAAATGTAGGAGAAGTTGCGCATGGTAAAAATTGTTCACTATATAATCTGTATAAGGAAAAAAAACAAAGGGCCATAATTAGGTCAAATATTATACAATCACAAAACCCTGACAATATGCCCCAAGGCACTTGATGACAAAGCCTCTGTGAAAGTTTGGTCAAATTCCGTTGAGAAATGTAGGAGGAGTTGCGCACAGAAAATTGTTCACTATAATTATATCCTATATTGGGAAAAAAAACAAAGGGCCATAATTAGGTCAAATATTATCCAATCACAAAACCCCGACAATATGCGCCAGGGCACTTGAGTACAAAGCCTCTGTGAAAGTTTGGTCAAAATCCATTGAGAAATGTAGGAACAGTTGGGCACAGAAGAAATTATTCACTATATATTCTATATAAGGAAAAAAAACAAAGGGCCATAATTAGGTCAAATATTATCCAATCACAAAACCCCGACAATATGTGCCAGGTCACTTGATGACAAAGCTTCTGTGAAAGTTTGGTAAAAATCCGTTGAAAAATGTAGGAGGAGTTGCGCACAGAAGAAATTGTTTACGCCCGCCCGTCCGCCCATCCGGCTGCCCGCCCGCCGACATACCTCAATCTAATAACCAGTTTTTTCCTTCGGAAAACCTGGTTAATAAAATGATTTGCATAATCTCAATATGGTTATCTATATACATGTACACACCAAGTAGCATCAACCTAGCTTTTGTAGTTCTTGAGTTTTATGACAGGATCCAGATTTCTACAAACCAACAAAATGACAGACTGACAGAGGGTAAACCTACAGTCCCCTATTGTTATACTGATAGCGAACTAACAAGGGACAGTTCTAAATTTAAAGCAGGGATGAGTCCTTCATACGAAATTCATCGATATTAAAAACTTTTGAATATCTTTAGAGAAACATGGTAAGATTTTACAATCTTATATTTTTACATAAATTGTAACTAACAATAACTGCACATAATTGTTACAATAGCTCTCTTATTCTGACAAATAGATACAACTTAATACAATTTCATCACTTTCTAAAAAATCAATATCAAGTTTTAAAACTGTTGCATTTTAAAACTGTTACATTTTAAAACAAATTATACTTCAGAAATTGAAATAAAAGTGTATAACCACTTTAACATGTAATTGTTTTTGTTCCTGGAAAAGTATTAATTTGTCCATTATGTCATTCTTAAAGCCTTGTCAATTAATTCAAGTGTTTACCAGACTTTTTTCCTTCTATAAATTGTGTTACTTTCAGCTATATTGCAATAGGAAGTGCTTCACAAACAATGATAAATTGATAACTGGAAATTGTTCAAGCAAGGAAAATTTGTAAATTGTCAAACTTCACTTTCTTCTCATGATTTCTGAACATTAGTGTACCAGAACACCAAACTTGATTCAAATTGTTTATATCAAATATCTTCCTTTAATTTGAAATAAAATTAGATAAAATAAAGAGAAAAAAATCAAGTTTTAATTCCTGAGGTTCTCTAATTGCCTCAATTTTTATTGTTTTGACTTTTATTTAAAGGGACATGTTACTGTTACTTATAGACATATAGCAGATTAAAATTTAATTTAAAAGCACGATTTTAGAATATAATAACAGAAACACTTTAGGTGAAAAAAAATGGGGGTTACCAACCTCTCTGTCAAGTTACTTGCTTTGTTTTAGAATGAACATAACATTATACTCTCAAACAAATGAAATTTATTCCACCCATGCCTCTGAGTAAGTTTACCATTCATGTAAAATTGCAATATTTAGGAAATAGATATCATGCATTGTTGTAGAATAATGCACTGTTTGAGTTCAACTGCGTAGTATTATAATCACGAAGACCGATAGGCCTGAGTGATTAATTACAAGCATTTGAACGAAATAATGTGAATTATTATACAACGATGCACAAAGAATTAATATCTATTTCCATTCTAATACGCCAAGAAAATATAATAATTATTAAAAAGTTGGACTTGATTTTTGGTGGTTAAATTTGTTTTGCCTCAGAGTTTCCAATAGTGGGTTGAAAAAAACTGTCGTTAAATCTTCCGTATATAAAGTATTAATAGTGAATTAAATGTGAAATTCAACTCGTTTGCGACATTGAAATAACGTTCTTGATTCAATTGTTTTTGCATGTGTTGAATGGCGCTACATTGTGAGTGACGTCACATAAACACCACTTTAAACGTCTGTATAGTGTTAACAACTGAATTCAAGATATTGGTGTTCGGATTCATTTTCTTAGTTAGACCATTTTCTTTCATTCTAGATAGTTTTGACAACAAAATTCGACAAAATATTGTTTTTTATTTATCAGATTTTATCAAACAAAATGGCACTGTCAATGCGTCAGTTTGAAAATACACAGGGAGGAAATAAGAACGGCGAGTGCATTGTTGTAGAATAATGCACGCTTCCTGCCTTCTTTATGTAGGAAAATGTCCGATAGTGTTAGAATTATTTGTTTTATTCCTTGTGCTATAAGTTGAAGTAATCATGGTTTTGAATATCAATTTATATGTACTGTACATGTTGTAATTGGAATTTAAGGGAAATATTTTGTAAATGAGTGATCAATCAGTGACACCTGTGTAACTTCAGACTAATGCCTATTGAAACACAGAGTATGTATGCAATCATCATAAACATATCTCAAGGGTCTTAGGTTCTTCACCAGATGTGGACTTCTATTCAACAACAGTTTTTTCACAAATACATAAACCAACAAGAGCCTGGTTTGAGCCGGGTGATGCTCCCCGAATAGGTTTTGGACACAGGAAAGTACACCTCTTGTAGTTTCAGAGTTATGTCCGTGGAAAAAGTTCAAAGTGCAATTATTCCAAAATTAGGCAAGGCAGAGTTACAGTTCTTTGCACTGCACTTCTAATCAATGTGATCTATCAACCTACAAAGTTTCTTGATGATATCTCTTATGATTTCCGAGTTATGTCCTGGACAATTCAAAAAGTAAAAATAAACAAAGGGCAATAACTCCAGAATTAAGCAAGGTAGAGTTATGATTCTTGTGCACTGCACATCTACCCATTGAGATTTATCTACCTACAAAGTTTCATGTTGATATCTCTTATAGTTTTACAGCTATGTCCCGGACAAGATTTTTCTAAAAGGGGAGATTATTCAAAAATAAGGCTTAACAGAGTTATGGTTCTTTTGCACTGCACCTCTACTCAATGAGATCTATCTACCTACAATGTTTCATGTTGATATCTCTTATAGTTTAAGAGTTATGCCCCGGACAAGATTTTTCTATAAGGGGAGATAATTCAAAAACCAGGCAAAATAGAGTTATGGTTCTTTGACACTGCACTCCCCCTCGATGCCCCTAACCACTGTATGAAGTTTCAACAAATTATCTCCAAGGGTTTTCAAGTTATGTTCCGGACAAAGTTCAAGTTCAAAGTTTTAAAATAAACAAAGGGCAATAACTCCAAAATTAGGACAAAAAGAGTTATTGTTCTTATGCACTGCAAATCTACACATTGAGATCTATTCACCTACAAAGTTTCATGTTGATATCTCTTATAGTTTTAGAGTTATGCCCCGGACAAGATTTTTCTATAAGTGGAGATAATTCAAAAACTGAGCAAAATAGAGTTATGGTTCTTTGACACTGCACTCCCCCTCGATGCCCTCTACTACTGTATGAAGTTTCAACAAATTATCTCCAAGGGTTTTCAAGTTATGTTCCGGACAAAGTTCAAAGTATTAAAATTAACAAAGGGCAATAACTCCAAAATTAGGATGAAAAGAGTTTTTGTTCTTATGCACTGCACATCTACCCATTTAGATCTATTCACCTACAAAGTTTCATGTTGATATCTCTTATAGTTTTAGAGTTATGCCCCGGACAAGATTTTTCTATAAGGGGAGATAATTCAAAAACCGGGCAAAATAGAGTTATGGTTCTTTGACACTGCACTCCCCCTCGATGCCCTCTACCACTGTATGAAGTTTCAACAAATTATCTCCAAGGGTTTTCAAGTTATGCTCCGGACAAGACAACGGACGGACAGACGGACGGACGGACAGACGGACAAGGCGCCGACTATATGCTCCCCCGAAATTTTTCGGGGAGCATAACAAGGAAAAGGTGTCCAGCTGTATTTGCCACACAAGATGGAGATGCAATATATTGAAACAAAGTCAAGTGTTTTAAGAGTGATCATGTGAACTTTTCTAATTAGTTTTGTCCAGTTCAATTGCCATGAAATTTTGTTTTACATATATGAGCAATAAATGATATTAAATATCTATTGAATTGTGTACATTTATCTCATACAACTACTAAGAAGTAGTTGGCCAATTAGTAGCTCTTAATTACATTTAAATTCCTTAATATAAAACAGATAGTTCATTATTCACCACAGGACAAATTTAACACTGTAAGGGTCATTACCTTTCTGGTATCTTATTTTCCGGTATCTAGTAAAGCTTTTATCATCAACAAGTTTCTTAACCTGTAAATACAAAATTGTCAATTACACAGTGAACATACTTCCACAATAACATATTTTCAATATGTATTTATATATCCTTTCTAGAATGAAATACAGGACATATTACACACCATTTTATTTCTTAAAACAAGACACACATGGATATCATACATCCCCTTAAAGAATAAAACATCAGTTTAATCAACATTTAATGTCACTGTCTTCATAGCATCAAAACCAGTACAGCATTTGATCTCAAAGGAAAAATAATTTAATAACATTAAAGAAGAGCTCTGAATATCATAGCATAATAGGCCCATGTATATACTATCATAAGATGCACAGTTTTTAAATGTGCAAGGACTCAAAAATTTGTTAAGAGCTCCAGGATAGACATTTTTTAAGAGCTCCAGGATAGAAATTACATTTTGTTCAAAAAGCTCCAGGTTAGATATTTGTTAAGAGTTCCATGATAGATAGAGGATATTCAAGTTTTTTCTATAAATACATGATTTATTTTCATCGAGTGGTATGAAAATAAATATTTCATGAGTGGCGGTAGCCACAAGTGAAATATGGTAATTTTCATGCCACAAGATGAAGATGAAAATAAATCATGTATTTATAGAAAAAACTTAAATTTTCTGTTTATTATACGGTATACATTTTTCTCTTTCTGGACATTAAAATTTACAAGACTTTCCCTTAAATTCTGAGTACTGGCAGAATTTAAAAGAAAGTAGTCCAGCAAGACATCAGTGAAAATACGGAAAATATGTTTCACTGCAGTGAAAAATAAATTTTTACAGTGAAATTACGGAAAATGGAAATACGCATTTAATTTCATCAATATTTCTCAATATTTCATTTAAAAGTATATAATAAACATTTGTATTCTATATCACCTGCCTAAAGTTTCTAAATTATTATTTGAATTTTGAAACAAAATACTTCAAAATACATGTATGAAAGAAATATGTTTGTATATTTCCTTAAGAGCAAATGGTGCATGTATGAAATAATTGAAAAACAGTTGTTACATCCCCATTATATAATAGCAGCATAATATTTTGTTCAAGAACATTTTATTCTGTCTATGTACAATATTCATGTGTGTTACAAGTCTATGTTACAGAGAAACTCAATGTTACAACTCTTTCGAGAATGGTCCATAAGATTATTTAAGCAACAAAATTTTACCTTTTATAGATATAGAAAAATTTTTTTAATTCTATATAGCTTTATTCCCTTTAAAGTTGCATGCCCCCAAATAAGCTAAGAGGTTTTTTTTGTTTTTTTTTTGGTCAGGTATTACGTTGCACCAATTCAGTATAGGTTGACTTACCAGCTTTACTGGTGGAGGAAGACCTCAGGTGCGCTTCCATGTATTATTTCAGGCACCTCAGAGTAGAACCGCCGAGTCACAGACGTTCGGTAAGAAAGAATCCAAAGTCCATTACCAACAGAGGTAAACCTTCTCTACTTCGGAACTTATCACCAATATTCCATGTTTAATTTTCAGATAATTTTTTTTTTTTTTTAATAATGTATACACATAATAATTATACACTTACCTCTGGGAACAGAATTTTTCCTTGTTTTCTACATTGAGCATCAGGACAAGTTATAGACAGTACATTTCCTTCTGCTATCATTACCACCAAATACTGTCTCACACACTACAAATATAGGGAAAACAGAAACTATATTAAAATTTGTATAAGTAAATCACCACACATTAAAACAATAATGTGCATGTAATAATGTTACTCTATTCTAATGGGGATACCATATTATCTGTAAGGTAAATTTATAGATGTGCCATTTATTTTGTTTCAGAGAAAATCAGGGTGGATTATTACATAAACAAGTATATGTATCTTGGGAGTTGTAAGACATCAACTATACAGTGCTTTAACAGAAACTGTTTTCCTGTGATCTTTATAAACAATAAACATGCATAATGATGCTAATTAACTACACCATCACTATATTTTGTTTAGATGATATAGTGTTTTATCACTAAAATATGTGCGATTATTTATGCAATGACAAAAATGAAACATAAGTATCCATTAAAAGAAATATACAGCACCATCAACAACAAATGAAGAACAGAAACAAACAGCCATCACAAAAGTTCATATTTGAGCACAAAGTGCTCTGGTGTGCTAAAAATTAGTGGTCTGAGGCCAAATTTGAACCTGTATTTTATGAAGTTATGTCTGTGTACAATATACTGTTACAATCCATTATCTCATTAAAGAGTTATCATCTGGAAACCATATTTTTTGTCAGAAGAATGGGGCAAAAAGGGGGCCATAACAATGTCAACAATAATAAAGCTTAAAGCAATGGATGCTTCATGAACTTGCACATTGGTCAAAAATTTTCAATGCATGTCAGTCAATAATAAATACAGACAGTAAGAGTTAATTTCAAGAACCAGTGACCTTGACCCCAAAGTTTGAAGACGACTCAAGATTATCTACCATCCAAATGTGTAAGACATCAATCCATAAATTAAGGCTGCCTTTATGAGTAAAGGTGTAACTCTCTTTTTTAATGCAGGAATTATAGTACTGGCAATTTTTCCTTGAGCCATTTTGTCATAAAATTGCAAAAATATGGCCAATGCAGTATCATATCATTCAAGTTTTACCTTGACCTTTGGGATGCTGATCAAGATATTGTTCACTACATGTCATCTTTATAAGCAGCATATATTTGCATAATTATTTCAAATCCATTCATGAAAAATAAATTTATGCGCAACACATAACCATTTATTCACAATCGTACAAGTGTGACCTTCACCTTTGACTTGCAACATGTTATCTTAAAATGCATCATATGTATGTCAAGTTATTTATAAACAAGAATTTGTAACAGAGTTACCAATGTCCCCCGCCTCGGGAAATTTTATATGAAGCATAAAATTGTGCTATTTCAAAAGATTGAGGCGCCTGTCCGTACATTTTCCATGAATTTCCATGAAAACTTCCGGAATTTTCATGGAAATAATGGATCTCAGGACATTCAGCCCAAAATTTTGATCAATGCTAGACCTGCAAATGTAACAATAAATTTGTTAAAACTAGAAATGTGTCCATAGGACACGGATGCCCCAATACGCCACTGTTCTGTCAATCTTATGACTCTAGGTCAAATATTTTTTGGACTACATGTGCCACAAGTTGAAAACTAAAAATCAACAAAGGGCCATACTTCTGTTAAATTTGGTCGCAGCAAAAATTCCTTCCTTTACTACCATTTACACATTAAGGTTGTTAATCCCTGGAAAGTTAAGCAAAATCTGCCATCCGGTTTAAGAGGAGTTGCATTCACAAAATTTCTACATAGTATATAGTGAAAAAAATCAACAAAGGGCCATAATTCTGTTAAATTTGGTCACAGCAAAAATTCCTTCCTTTACTACCATCTACACATTAAGGTTGTTCATCCCCGTAAGTTTAAGCAAAATCTGCCATCCGGTTTAAGAGGAGTTGCGTTCACAAAATTTCTACATAGTATATAGTGAAAAAATCAACAAAGGGCCATATAATTCTGTTAAATTTGGTTGCAGCAAAAATTCCTTCCTTTACTACCATCTACACATTAAGGTTGTTCATCCCTGTAAGTTTAAGCAAAATCTGCCATCCGGTTTAAGAGGAGTTGCGTTCACAAAATTTCTACATAGTATCTATTAAAAAAATCAACAAAGGGCCATAATTCTGTTAAATTTGGTCGCAGCAAAAATTCCTTCCTTTACTACCATCTACACATTGAGGTTGTTCATCCCTGTAAGTTTAAGCAAAATCTGCCATCCGGTTTAAGAGGAGTTGCGTTCACAAAATTTCTACATAGTACATAGTGAAAAAATCAACAAAGGGCCATATAATTCTGTTAAATTTGGTCGCAGCAAAAATTCCTTCCTTTACTACCATCTACACATTAAGGTTGTTCATCCCTGTAAGTTTAAGCAAAATCTGCCATCCGGTTTAAGAGGAGTTGCGTTCACAAAATTTCTACATAGTATCTATTAAAAAAATCAACAAAGGGCCATAATTCTGTTAAATTTGGTCGCAGCAAAAATTCCTTCCTTTACTACCATCTACACATTGAGGTTGTTCATCCCTGTAAGTTTAAGCAAAATCTGCCATCCGGTTTAAGAGGAGTTGAGTTCACAAGATTTCGGGACGTACGGACGGACGAACTGACAGATTGACGAACGGACTGACGGACGGACAAGTGCAACGCTATATGCTTCCACATTGTAGGGGCATAAAAATAAAATGAAACACGGAATTTAAAAATCTATCATGTTAAGATTTGACCTCTAAGTGTGACCTTGACCTTGGAGGTAGGGGAGCAGGTGTTGTGCATGACATAACGTCTTATTATTTAGACTATTTGTGCCAAGTATTTTCAAAATCCCTTGAACTATGAAGAAGTTATAGATTGGACACAAAATATACCCTATAACAGACTATGTAAATCTTTGACCTCTAAGTGTGACCTTCACCTTTGAGGTAGGGACACAGTATTACGCATGACATATCATCTAATCATTGTGACTATTTGTGCCAAGTATTTTCAAAATCCCTTAATCTATGAAGAAGTAATGGACGGGACACAAAATATACCAAATAACAGACTCTGTTAACCTTTGACCTCTAAGTGTGACCTTGACTTTGGAGGTAGGGGTGCAGGTGTTGTACTTTACATATCGTCTTATCATTGTGACTATTTGTGCCAACTTTTTTCAAAATCCCTTGAACTATGAAGAAGTTCTAGATCCGACACAAAATATACCCTATAACAGACTATGTTAATTTTGACCTCTAAGTGTGACCTTGACCTTGGAGGTAGGGATACAGGTGTTGCGCATGACACATCCTCTTATTATAGTGACTATTTGTGTGAAGTATTTTCAAAATCCTTTAATCTATGAAAAAGTTATGGACCGGACACAAAATATACCCTGTAACAGGCTATGTAAGTATTTGACCTCCAAGTGTGACCTTGACTTTGGAGGTAGGTGATCGGTTTTTGCGCATGACACATCATCTGATTATTGTGAACAATTATGGCAAGTATTTACAAAATTCCTTCATAGATAAGAAAGTTATGGACCGGACACAACATATACCCTCAAATAGACAATGTTGAGCTTGAATGAGCAAGTACGACCTTGACCCTGAAGATACGGGTCTGGTTGTTTCGCATAACACATCGTCTTATTATAACAAACATTTGTGCCAAGTTATTTCAAATTCCTTTGATAAATGACAAAGTTATGGACCGGACACAAAATATACCCTGTAACAGACTACCGTATAAGTATTTTTTTCTGCGAGAACTTTATTTCTGCTATTTCTGCGGTTTATAACGACACCACAGATTTAAAAACCGCAGAAAATTAAGCCTTTCGCGATGTCTACATGTATGTCGGAATATGTCAACTACATGTATTGTATAATTACATTACCATGTACCGTTATCAGCTTTTGTAGATGGGAATAATTTTTCTTTATGTATCCGTCATGAATAAAATATTAAAAAAACAAACTTTTCTTGTTCTTTTTGTTTAAAAAAATATCATGTTTGATATTTTCGCTCACCCTAAGCTTGATTTATTTTAAAAATAAAACTATTATAGTTTGACGGGTGCAATAAACATACCCTTTTGTATTTGTACAATATATTGTGTCTAAGTGCGATATTACCATTGTTTATTTTTCACACTTCATATCTATACACATGCAGTATTACAATTTAATTGTTGTCATTGCATGTTGTTGGTTTTTGTTGATTTAATTTTTGTTTATTGCGTTCATTGAACGCCGCCTTTCCTTGTTGATCTTGTTTATCATATTTTATATACCGATACATTGTGATCACGATGAACACACATTATAAGTCGTCTGCATGTTTACCGGAAGTAATGTACATGTTACATCAACATATCTTGAAATGTTGTCTGTTTGTATCGGTTAAGTTTGTAATAAAAAAATAAATTAAAACGCAGAAATAAAAAACATCAATGCGAGAATGATGACACCGCAGAAATAAGATACGCAGAAATTTAAAACCCCTTATTTTATACAAAATCGCAGAATTTTAAGCCCGCAGAAATAAGTACTTATATGGTATGTTAATATTTGACCTCCAAGTGTGACCTTGACCTTGAAGGTAGGTGACTGGTTTTTGGGCATGACACATCGTCTGATTATTGTGAATAATTATGGCAAGTATTTACAAAATCCCTTCATAGATAAGAAAGTTATGGACCGGACACAACATATACCCTCAAATAGGCAATGTTGAGCTTGAATGAGCAAGTGCTACCTTGACCCTGGAGATAGGGATCTGGTTGTTGTGCATGACACATCGTCTTATTATAATAAACATTTGTGCCAAGTTATTTCAAATTCCTTTCATAAATGACAAAGTTATGACAGACGGATGGACGGACGGACAGATGGAGCCTATTTCTATATCGCCCTTTTTTCTTCGAAAAGGCGAGGGACAAAAAAAAAAACCAATAAATGACAGGTATGAACATCAGAAAATTTTTAGTCCAATCTTGATTTGTATAAGTGTGACCATAACTTTTGAGCTGGAAACTGAATGACAGGATTGTTGACAGTAAATGACCATAAATGCACTTCTATAAAAAATCATATACTGAAGTTGGACATAC